ATGCAAATCTCATCCTTGACTCGAGAAATGCAAGTACATATACATAATACGTATACTCTCCGTTAGCGGAGACTAACATTGGGACGGAACAACGACCGGTATTCCATCGTCTCGTTCTTCCTCTCGGACGGAAAACTTTCTCCCTCGTTCGCTATTATCTCTTTCGGGGCTACTCTCCTCTTCTCGGAAACTGACCAATGGATGGTGGAAGATTGAAAATAAATTTTAACCATTCGACAAAGGAAATATTTGTCAATTTTATAGGGAATGACTACGTGTAAGAAAATATACGGGTAAGACTGATATCGCGTATGCTATTATTGCTTACGCTATAAATAAATATGCATAACTATATTATTATAGGTAGATACACGTATATAGATATATAATATCTGGACGAGTACGTCGTAGCGGTGAGTTCTTCGTTATCGTTCCTGTGCCGTCCCAGTTTCTTCGCTTCGATACGCGCAACGCGATGCTTTTGAATGCACGAGCCGCCTCGGCGTGTCGTCGTCCTCGTCACGCATACACAGGCAGGCACGCGTGCACGCTGCACAGTGCACGCAAGCCATAGACGCCACTCATTGTCAGACGCGATTCCTTCTTAGTCCCGGCGTCGTCGCTCTCGGGCGTTGCATCGACGGGAGCGCAGCATGTTCAACGATTTTCTTCTTTTTCCTCTTGGATATATTCGAGCGAAGCTCTTCTTGAAATAAAGATGGATCGTCGCGAATCCTTTTTTCTCTTCCTCGGCGAGCATTACGTTCATCGACGTTTTCAAAGGCTTTTTAGAAAGGAAAGAAACGAGAAGAAACGAGAGAACGGATAGCCAAGAGTTTCAGTTAAATTGGGGACATAGTTCCTTTCTAGCTGCTTATTACTATGCGACGGTAGCGCGGTTAGTCATCGCCAGATGTTGTCGCGTCGCAAATAAATAGCGAGCTGCCAGCGAACTTCTTCTTCCTCCTTCTTGTCTCTTTTAGTTTTATTCATTTTTCGCATTCCCCTAGTATGTTGTTTAGTTTTATCACGGTCACGTCACTTCTGTCATTTATAGAAGAAACGTATCCCCCTATATAAAGATGAAAAAGTAGATATTATCGAGAAAGAGGGTAACAGATCTTGTTCTTGTTAGTTCGATATAGTCTCAGAATCCGAAGTTCCGTGACTGTATATTGAATTCCCTTTCGAAGAAACTCCTTGCGAAGCTCCTCGTTAATGCTCCTAACTAAGCTCCGATCTACGTGAATCGCAAACGAAAGTGAATTTTAGTCGCGCTTAGCAAGGTTCTAGTCTCTCTCCCATTTAATATTCAGATTGGAGAACGTACTTAAGTTATTAAAAGGGGGCGAGAGACGAGGGAGAGATGGGGTGGTAGCAAGGGGTAAAGCGATAAAATTCAATGGCCCCGACGCGCCGCTTGATAAGACGAGCAATATACACATCTACAATCACGGTGATTATCGAGTCGTTACCACTACGTCGCGCACTGACCTTTAGCGCGCGGGGGTCAATTCTCCTCGTCTCTTCGGCCGTGTCACGTACGAACGTAGTCATTTTCTCATGATGCGCTGCAATCGACGCGCCTGCCTCGGTTTCGTCACGCTTTCGCGCCAAGTCCCCGACAACTACGAGATTAACATTGTAAAAAAGGCCTTTACAATTACGTGCTTCGAGGAACGTAAGAAGGACAATTTTACTCCGTTGACCGCGTTAAAAAATTTGTCATTTTATGCCGAACAGACAGAACAGATATCTCGGATTAAATGGCGAATTAATCTCGCAAATTTTCTCGAAAATATTTCAACTTGAAAATATTAAAATATTTAATATAGATTTTATTTAGATTTTCACTCTCACTCTCAGTCATGTCTCTTTTATCGTATTGAGATGATCGTTGAGACGAACGAAGGGATTATAGGAAGGACCAAAAGTGGAAACGGCTAAAAGTATCGAGGACGAAATCGAAAGAGTGCGAGTGTGTTGCGATCGTGCACGTTGTAACGAGAAGGAGGGCCGCTCGCCGACAGGACGATGTTGGAAAGAGAAAAGGAGTAAAAGAAAGAGAGAAGGACGAGAGAGAAAGAGAGAAGAGAGAGACGGAGTCGGGAGATCATTGAACTCTCGAGCGGCAATGTGAGCGTGTGCGTGCGCGGCTGCTGCTGCACCGAGCGTCGTCAAAGTATACTTCGTGTGCCTTCGTGGAGGGAGAGAAAGAAGGTGAACGAAAGGAGGAGGCGAGTGCGAGAGAGAGAGAGAGAGAGAGAGAGAAGAGAGGAGTATAAGGCCAGGCCAGTCAGTAACGATGTCATTAGTTTAGTCAGTCAGCGAGTCAACGAGTATGGTCTTTCGCGAGCGTTTCGAGCGCGCTGGGCCCCTGCGGTCTCGACTTTTTACCGGTCCTGCCTGCCATACTTGAAAATTTGATGAGTATGCTCTCTCTCCCTGTTTGTCTCTGTCCCTACTGGTCTTCAAAATTTCATCCATAACAAGTTTCATTGGGATTTTCATTTTTTGACGTCTTCTCTAATTTCCTCTTATATTCTCTTCGTATATAATATTGCAAATGTATAAAACCCTAGATAAATCTTATAAAACTCGAGATCTTTTCTCTCGAGATGCAACACTCTCGAAATGAGAAAAAGTTAGAGGGGAGGGGGGGGGCGGGAAGAAAAGAATTGGCAGTCGGGCGAGTGTGCAATGGCGCGTCAACTGCAGTGCACTGCACTATGCACTGTACTATGCACTGCACCGCACCAAACGGCGAGACTCGTCGGCGGGAGAAGTGGGGAGCCGAATCGGACGCGAGTGGAGCGGTTGCGCGTGTGGGTGAAACCGTGCACGTTCTTGCCAGTGCTTTATACACGGCCCGCGGGTCAATGACTTTCCGAGAGCGCATAGTTTGCGCGTACGCTCGAGTGGGATCGTATGCGCGCGTCACTGCTCTTTCTCTCTTTCTCTCTCCCTCTCTCTCTCTCTCTCTCTCTCTCTCTCTCTCTCTTTCTTTCTTTCTCTCTAGCTCTCTCGATCGTGCGTTTCTATGCGCGAACGCGATATCACGTATACCTATGTATGCATGTATATACATACATACATACGTATCGTTTCTACAGTAGGTATACGTACTTTTTAAATGCGCCTAGATATAACGACGATGGATATCTTTGAAACTGAAATGGCACGTAGATCAGTATATTATATTCCGCGATTTATATCTTAGAAATAGAGATTCTCGTAAAAGTTTCGTAAGCCCGTAAGAATTGAGAACTCGGGCGTGCTTGTTAAAGAATCTCCGATGGGATAAACAAGCGCAATCGTTGCGATCTTGTGTAATATTCTTTTTCTTTCTGTCTTATAGAGTTAAACGAGGAAAGAGAAAGAGAGACAATAACCGATTAAAGCAAAGTTTTCTTCCTTCTATGAAAAATCATAGATATTTCGATCGATTCGAATACGTTCCGATTCGACGAAAAGTGCCGCGCCTTAATGAACGTTACCTCGAAAATATTCTACATAAGGTTACTGACCCAAAGCTTGTTGGACGCTAAGCGACGCGTTTCACGATCTAACAGTCACGCTGATATTACTGTTAGACGATCGTACAAGACTTTCGTTGGTTGAGTAAAGCTAGATAAACGTGAGATCGAACGAAAATAGAATCGATATTCGTTCGATAAAGGGAATAATCGGCAATCTCGTAATCGTGAATGATTTCGAAGGATACGACGTTTTAAGGTTACGACTTAAGAAAAGAAAAAAAAAACGTTTAGGGTGGAATGAGTCTTGGAAGTAGAAAGAAATACTCGAGTATGGACACGTATGCGTGTAAGTACCTACGTTTGTACTTGGTGCGGCACGAAAGGAGCGACATCGATCGAAGAGCTACTTTCACCAAGGGTGAATGCCTTTCGACTTTATTCTCGCCTTTATTCGCCTTCCTGGCCTTTCGAGAAGATGAAAAGAGTGGCGCTTGGCGGTGTTATATAGAGCGCGTTACCATCGCCGATTACCGCGCTCGCTTCGACTCTCTCGATTCTTCGAGTCTCGAAGAGAAGCAAAACCTGTTGCTTCTTAATGGCTCCTCGAGGAGAGCCGGTGGTGCGTTGTCCTCCGACGACGGTTGATTTTTCTACGCGAGAAGAACGCGACCCGATCGTTTTCCTTTTCCTTCTCTCTCTCTCTCACTCTCTCTCTTTCTCTTTCCCGCCGAAGAGACATCAGTTTTCTCATTCTTTCCAATTGGCCATTCGTTCGCTCTCCTCGTTGCATCGATATACGCGCTAAAATTGTCCTTCTCCGATCCGGCACTGTCTGTCCTTAAACATCGCGCCGCGATGTCTTTTTTTTTTTTTTCTTTTTTATTATTATTATCTCACCGGCCGTGTCCGTCAAGGAGAGATTCCCTTATCGAGCCATATAAGATCGATTCGGAATGAAAACGACAAAAACGACAATCACCCACGTGCTCTTTCACGAATCCATTTTTGATAGATTTGAGATAATTTGCGAATCGTATCATGAGTGGTAGTTAAAGCTAACTTTTTTTTTGATCTTTTATCCCTTCGGGCAAGACATCGTTACTGTTCCTCGGGTAATAACGAGAGTAGTCGGATCTTGCTAAGCTCTCTCCCTCGATGGTCCGTCCAACTAACGGATTCTCGATGATTCTTACGTCGACCTTCGGAGTCATGGCCGGAAGCGATACGGCTGTCCGAAAGAGTAGCCGTATCCCGTTTTGTCTCGGACTTTCGTTTCGTCGTCTGACCTTCGCCTACGTCGGTCCACGATGTGAGAGAAGGAGTATACGCGTGCCACGAATAGACGAATAGTAACGTTACGGTCGATCGTGAGATCGGACACGTATCGTATTTCGCGCGTTTATATAGATCACACTTAAATGCTCATACTTTTCCATCTTACTCTTAATACTTAGTTAGAAGCAAAGGGACATGTGAGGGCGGGGGCGGGGGCGGGGGCGGGGGTGGGAGAGTAAAGGAGGCGCCTGCTATCTTAGCTTCTTTCGGTTCGGTTCGGTTCGCTTCGTTTCGCCAAGAGAGAGTCCTTGACTTTTGGAATGCGGACCACTGAGAGAGCTCTCCAGGTACGTCCAGATAGCTCCCGACGAATGAACGCACACGTGCAAACATCTCTTGCACTCTCTCGTTTCGTTTCGCTCGCTCGGTCTCTCTTACTAACCGAACGATAAAAGGACTCGGTGCTAAACGATCCGGTACTTTGTCCTGCACCTGCCTTTCGTTTCTCATAACGAACGACAAATTTTTCAAACCTTCTTCCACTTTCTAATTCTCTTGGAGTAATAAGTATAACGAAAAGATAAGAGGATATATTTATTTCGTACAAATTCGTACATCGTTCGTTTTCTCTTCGGAATAAAAGAGAGAAACGGGCGCGTTGCTACGTTCGCAGCGACATTGACGAGATCTCAAGGTCCAAGTTTTGTCTCGAGACTAGCTACGGCCGAATGAGCGAGCGAATAAGAGAGAAAAAGAGAGAGAGAGAGAGAGTGAGATTTCCGACGAAATATCGAATATTTTTTATGAAGACCGCCTAGTGGCCACGTCATCGCTCGTTTCAGAGCGAAGAGAGACGCGCAGGGCACGCGCGAACGAGCGAACGAGCGACCTTGCGTTTGCTTTGCATATACATGATGTGGCTTTGGGCATGGTCGCGCGGGACGCAACCTTGGCGGGAGCATAAAACGAAGGAAGGCACCGTGAGACAGGAGAAGAGAGAAGAGAGAGAGAGGAGGGAGATGGTGACGCCGCTGGATGGATGGATGGGTGCTCGGCAAACGAGGGAAAGGGAGAGAGAGAGAGAGAGAGAGAGAGAGAGCGAGAGAGAGAAAGAGAGAGAGAGAGAGAGAGAAGAGCTACGTCACGCCACTTTCGGTTTTATCGGCGTATATCCGGTCGACTCTGCGATTTCCTCGCGAGTAACGTCTCTCGAGAATACGTTCCTTCTTTTTTCATCGATGGAGAGGAAGCTCTGTAATCGTCTAAGGTGAACCAAACATGGTTTTCTTTCAATCTTTTATCTCTTATCATTAGCAATAATTTAATATCTCTTGTACGTCCTCCTAAGTTCTCTACACGCGGAAGACCTTTTTCCGCGGACGGTGAACTCGGACAGGGAATCGATACATCGAGATACACAGCATATACCCGCGTCGCTTGCTTCGAGGTATGCACATTTCTTGTTGCGGTCGATTAACGTCACTAACAATTACGATCGAATAGCCTGATTATCAATGCGACCAGAAATCCTGTTTATCGATGTAACTTACTATCCGCGTAGATCGTCTTACTATACGCATGACGCGAATCCCGATTGATCGGCTTAGTCGTGTCAATGACTTTTCCTATAGCTCTTTGTTCCATTATAATATATCGTTCGAAGAGTTGGCACAGTCGAAAGATTTTTCGCCTGACAGACGTAGGAGGTGGAGGAGAAGGTGGATCGTTTCGCTAACTTGAGAATCCGTTGGCCGGAATTGATAGCAACGTTTGCGACTGGACTCTGCTGAGAAGCAAGCAGGTGCCCGAAACCGAGACCGAAAGTGAGAATTTTAGCGCCTATCAAGGTTGCCGAAACGCAGCCTCGGACAAATACGCTTGACGCTCTTGCCATTGACATTCGAGGCGAAGCGACGAGAAAGAGAGAAAGGGTGAATGGATGTATATCGATTTGGGCTGGCCTTGAACGAGAAAAACCAACTAGCGATTCCTCTTTATCTCTATCTCAATCTCTACCTCGCTCTCGCTCTCTTGGTATTGCATCTTTTTTCAAAACAGCAACAGCACAGCGGACACATTGAAAGATGAAGGAGGTAGAGAGGGAAAGGCGAAGGAGGACCGGTAGGAAAGTCGCGGCTTGTTTTTCGGCCGTTGCTGTTCGCCGCCGTTACCGCCACCACCACCGCCACTGACACCACCACCGCCACCGCCACTGCCGCCGCCGCCGCCACCGCCACCGCCACCGCCGCCGCCGCCGCCGCCGCCGCCGCCGCCGCTCGAGAATAAGCATCGTAAAGATCGAAATTGCTTCTTGGAACGTTTCGACTCGCCAGATGAATCTCTTAAAATATACTCGAAATTCCACGTCCGTCCAATATTTGCACGCTCTCGCAAAAAGTACGCGCGGTCGAACGGATTCGCGTTGCTTGTTGCAGTAGCGTCTTTGAATTCTTCAGCTTCGTCTTGAGCCTCCTTCCTTCGTCGAGTTAAAATTTTATTGAAAAAGATCGAGATTAGATGTCCAAGCAACACCCTCGTAGCACGAAAAAGCGTGCATAGGATAGTCAACTTTTTTTTTCGAAGGTGGAGAGAATGGCAGCTTGTTTTCGTGGGAGAGGAGAGAATGAAAAGGTCGATTAGGACCGAGGAGGAGGATCGGCAGGCTAAAAATATTTGAACGAGCGACAAAGTTTCGCGTTCGGCTGTAAAACCAGGACAATGGCTGCTGCGAAACGAAAACGGGCTTTACACCTTTTTTCTTTTCTTTTATTTTTTTTCTTTTTTTTTTTTTTTTTCTTTTTTTTAAGCAAACGAACGTTTATCGACACTCTGACAACAACGTCTCGATAATTAATCGTTGTATGATCTTTAAAATATGAAACAATGAAAAATATCTTTTATTTTTCCTCGATTATTTCGTTTATTCCTTCGACCTATTTCCAAATAAAAATTCTATTCCAGCAATGAAGAGAGCAGCGTGCATCCTAACGGATGATCCCAGCAACAGCGTGGGAAAGTCGTGTGCGTTCGAACGCGACGGAGAAAAACCAGATGCAACTCCCTTTTTACTTTTAAAGCCACTTTCGCCGTCTCCCGATGTCGATGATCCTGATCGCGGTTACCGGCACGACCTACTCGTACTACGATACGAGAAACGTGCTCCCTCCGTGGTTCGACGTTTCTCTCGTGTCTCTTTCTTTCTTTCTTTTTTTTCTGTTATTTTTTTCTTTAATTATCATTGAACTTTGATTAATTTTTATGGTAAGTGATTACATAACGACAAATTTTTATTTCTTTTTCAAAAAGTGTTCGAGCATTGGTCCAGAACGCTGCCAAGTTTACGCAAAGTCAACCATACCTCTCTCTCTCTCTCTCTCTCTCTTTCTCAGATCATTCGAACGTATCGCTTTCCTCTCGTCGTCTTTTTCTCGTTGGACGTCGTTGAACGTTCAGCTGTCGTTGATGGTTTGCGCGGGTGCCGCCACATCGTGGGCGCGGGAGCGGCCGTTCCAACGAGTCAGTGACGAAGAATTAATTGCGCCAAAGTCCTTGGCGTTCTTCATGGACGCGCAACCGGGCGATCCTCCTCTTTGTTCGTCTTCGTACCTTCGATCTTCGTCTCTTGAGAGCAGAGGACAGGAGGATATCGATATGCGAGGTGCGTGCGAGCGTGTGTGGATGCATCGGGTGCAAGAATATGCACTCTCTCTCTCTCTCTCTCTCTCTCTCTCTCTCTCTTATCCCAACTTTTCCCTAAGCCAAGTTCAAGTTTTTCGGACAAATGGTCTCAACCTCTATATGCGATCGAATCTTAAGGTAAAAAGTTTTACGTTCGTGCCTTTAAAAATGGAGGATTTGAAAAAAATTGCAAGTCGATAAAGATCGAACTCATTTAGCACGAACGTCTAGGCGAACTGATCGTTCTCAAAGACGACAGTATTTGCTCTGGCTAAAGCAGAAACGGGACGGAACTTTTGGCTCGGATCCACAAAAGCGAACAAGTCGTGCGGACTCATCGTTTCCCATATTCGTATATTCTTATTCGCTTTCCTTATCTGACTTACGCTTTTTTTATGTTACCTGCTTCGAGTCCTTCAAATCTCGAGTTTATCGTGAATCGAAAACGAAGGTGTTTCGTGAGACGCGACCCAGACAAGCTCTTTCCCTCGTCTTGCCTTCTCTTTTCTTTCTACTATATTATAGTCGTTGCTTTTTGTCCAACGAAAAAACTTTTATGGTCCTATATCTTTTATGTTTCCTAATCTTGAAGTTTAAACTCCGAAAAATCCTCGCTGGAATAGTAGACATAAAAGTCTCGGATCGAATGCCCCGTCGTTTCTTATACGTATACATGTATATATTTCTCTCTCACGAACTCGATCGCACAAACTAATTGGGAGAACAGTAGAATCCGAGTGGAATAAATTTTGTCGATTAATGGAACAGCCGGTTCCTCTTTAACTCGTCATCCACGATTTACAAGGTCGAATCGATTGCACTTAACGATCGGTCATAGAAAATGGATTTCGTATTTCTGTATAATCAAGTAAAAAGGTATAAAATTTTGACGAAGAAGATACCCATTTTAATTCGACCTCGAGTTTATTTCGATCGATGATCTATGTGATGTCCTCTCGGCGACCGATACTCCGAAAAGGATTCCGCGTACTTCCGCGGAGAATCCATCTTCATTGATTTCTACTGTCAGTAGAAAATTCCCCGCGAATAGAAGGGAACTGCGGACGAGAGCTAGTACTTTTTAGTAGCGACTTTGCGTCGCGCGTACCGCGAAATGTGGGACGCGAGAGCTCGGCACTAGTCCGAGTTATTCAGATTAATTGTCTTTTAACGTCGTCCATGCACCGACGATGGACGGTGCCGGTGGCATTCGAGCTTATGCGAGCCATTCCTGACATTGCCAGTTACGATGTCGACGTTAACGACGAGCTAGAGGCTCGACCGTCTAAACAAACCAATCTCTCTCCCCCTTTCTGCCTCCCCCCTTCTCTCTCTCTCTCTCTCTCTCTGCATCTATCTATCTATCTTCCGTCGTTAATTTTCATTCTTTGAAAATGGCCGCTGTATTGCGCAAAGCATTTATTGAAAATACATTAAGATGTTGCTTCTTCGATGATGACCAGTGTAGAGAATGAGAAAGGCGACGATGAACGCAAATAGCAAACGAGCATCTAAACAAAAAAGGAATCTTTTATTAGAAAGGAAAGAGTTCTACTAAAGCACGTGGCCTGCTCGGGATATTTCACGCAGGAAGCTCGTGGATGATCGTACGCACCCGGAACTTGATTGTCCTTTCACCTCGGTGTAATATCGTGACGAAGGTACATGACTAGTCAGCGAATAGTATCGTAAGAGAAGTCGCATTGCTCAAACATGGGGGGAGAGAAGAGACGAACGGGTCTACTACTAGTACTGCTTCTGTTGCTGTACCGAAGGTGGAAAGAGTAGAAGAGAGGTGGAGGGCGTTGGTAGGATTTATAAAGATTTGTAGGGACAGGTTTCTACTACCCACGAGTAACCAAGCAGGGCCGTTGCATCTTCGTGACACGAAGAAAAGAGAATCCATAGGCGACACGGGCGATCTACGAGGATGCTACTTTAGATCTTTCTCTTCTCCTTCGTCGAGGTGCTGTACACCTACGCGCGCACACGCACGCACTCTCTCTCTCTCTCTCTCTCTCTCTCTCTCTCTCTCTCTCTCTTTTCCTCCTTCCTTCTACCTTCCTACGTAAATCCTGCCCGGCTAACACACTGCCACACTAACGATCATCGCGCCGTTCTTGCCTCCTAACGGTATATCGGTACGCTCCTATCGAGCTCTTTCGGTTACGTCGAAACCTCGATAAAACACGTACTAGAAAAAGAGAAAAAGAGAAAATAGATATCTTCTTCTACAAGTCGACTTTATTCCTTTTTATCAATGCTTCATTCTCTTTTAATAGCGCATCGGAAAATAATAAATTTTTGCAATAGATATTGCAGAATTTTATCGATCATTAACGATAGATGATAGGCTTGATATATTATCGAAATTTTGTCACAGTCTCGTTGAGGTTTGCGTTGCCCAACGTACGTCATAAACGCGTGTCGCGAAACGAGTTGCCTGCAGGCCGTTGCTCCGTGCGCGCTAGCGTGCGTGCGTGCGTGCGTGCATGCGTGCATACGTCCATACGTGCGTGCATGCGTGCGTGCCTGCGTGAGTGAGTGAGTGCGTGAGTGAGTGCGTGCGTTGTGCGCGCGCGCGAGTCGCGAAGAGTACTTTCACACGGAGGTGAACAACACGAGACGGTATCCAGGCCAGGGGTGGCCAACCACTCCCGCTTAACCTAAGATAACGATGGCTCTTGGAGCGTTTCTCTTTCTCTCCTTCTCTCTCTCTCTCTCTCTCTCTCTCTCTCTGTATCTCCCTTTCTTTCTCTTTCTCTTTATCTCTCTCTTTTTCTCTCGTAATTATACTGATTATTTTCTTACCGTCTATAATTATGTTTTTCTACCGATCGTCAATGATTTTTATAAACGCAAATATAGAAAAGATGCATTCGTTCCAATGAAACGTATAAAATTTATAGCATCCAAAATTTTGGACGAAGCGAGGTCGTTGCACCTTTTGCAACGTGGCGGCCGTTGAGCGAATTCGAGAGATCGAAGGGGTTTTCGCGCACGCGGAGAGGGTGAAGGGTGGTGGGTAGAGGCAAAGGTTGATGCCCGGGCTCACTTCCTAGGCTGGCCGTCTGTATCGACCGGATAGCGTCGGGACGCGCGCCGGTTCTATACCTCGACGCGAATGTACGCTCTCGTTACGCGTTACCTTGCATCTCCACCCCTTTCTACGTCCCTTCTACGTCCCTTCTACGTCCCTTCTATGTTCTTTCCATATTCATCCCTGCTTTCCTCTTCTCTCTAGCTCTCTTTCTCTCTCCCTCTCTCTGTCTCTCCTATTTTCGTTCCTTCCTTTACTCAAGCAAAGCAGAGTTGGCTCCACGTTGAATCAAAATTACATATCTTATAAGCATGACATCTTCGATCTTCCTTTTGCATTTAATATTAAAGACATTCGAATCTAGGAAAATGTCTGCCTAGTCTAGCGATTAAAAGCAATGTTATTTGAAATTCGCTTTGGTTTTTTTTTTCTTTCTTTTGTTCAAGTTAATTTAACATACAGCATGGTCGAACGTTATCGTTCGAAAAAATATCTTGCCTTTGAAAGATCGGCAAAGGTTTCGCCGGCTCGAATCGTTTTGATCGCCTCGACTGGCCGACTTTTTACTCGGCTAACCGCATTGTCGTGGTCATCCGGTAAGACTGCTTTCGTTAAATTACCGTATTTGCCGGTAATGCTGCACGCTCGTGGCAGCTTATTATTAAGAAACGAACGTTTCTCGCCGGCTGTGAATTCGTTCTCACGCGAGCCGACTTGCTGAACGCTTTTTCGTTGCAAACTGCTAATAACTTGACTCTCTCTCTCTCTCTCTCTCTCTCGTTCTCCCTTTCTATCCATCTTTCTAGCCCTGCATCCGAACTTTCTCGAAAATACGTTCGTACATTCATAAACCTTTAATCATTTCTCTTCATACATTTTTACTTATTATGGACAAACAACTGTACTCGCGTCCACAGATCTTTTTTATTTTAAATTAAAATCTATTAACTGACCTGGTATCGTATTATTTTTAATACCACTTTATTCTTTTTACCGTAGTAACGATCTAACTAAAAATGACGTAACGGTAAGCGCGTAAGCGAGTACATTAGCGTTTTAGAAAAACGACGACAACGACGACAACGACAACGACGACGACGACGACGACGACGACGACGACGACGACGACGACGACGACAACGACGAAGACGACGAAGACGACGACATCGCTCTCCTTTAAAATACAGGCGCGTCTTCGTATTTACATATATTTACATGTTAAACGGTTGTACCGAGTACTTACGTACGATGAACGAAGCGCGTTCGAAAGCTTTCAGATGGGTGATGGATAAATAGATAAATAGATAGATAGAGCTTAGCTAGACCGGTAGGCCAATGCTCTCGTGATTGTTGAAATCGTGCAAATAGGGAAATAAGATATAATAAATGTCAAGTTGCGAAATG